CCTAACAGATCCGTTTTATACTGCATGAAGGTCTCGACTCGTGCATTGAGCACATCGGGACCTTGTGCAGCTAGAAACTCCACATATTCTGGGCCCATGGCCACAGTCAGCTTCTCAAGCGCGACCTTTTGGGCCTCAGAGAGGGGTGTGAATTGCTCCATCCTCACAGAGGATCAGTAGTAACGACTCAGGTGTAGATTGACTACATGTTCTACCAAGTGTAGCGGAGCGACACAGATCCTCAAGTCAGAGGAAGTCTTCAACGCTCTACGAGCAGTTTTGGTTCTACGAATTCGACTCGAAGAGTCAACATCTCAGAGAGCAAAAAGGTGGTTCAAGAACACGACATAAAGAGTTAACAAGCTCAGAGAGCTTACGGTGCCTGTTCCAGGGGGAACAAACGACTCAGAGATTTAAACGCACAGAGTGCACAAGGAGTAGCTGCTTTAACAAGGCGTTGCTACTTCCTTACGATCGCAAGACGCCTCAGAGAGGCACGTGTCTTTTGTTGATCAAAATGGGAGCTAAATTTTATTTCTTCTTTTAACCTAAAAGAACACCTTAGAACAACATAATTAACCTACTCGCTAATGCCCTAGATAAAACCTCTCAAAAGATCTCGTAATAAATGGTTAAAAGACATCAGTCTTCAACACTTGCTACTGTGTTCTAATATTACTAAAAAGAGAATTCCGTCCCTTGTGTGCACCACACCTATTGCTGACTACCAGTCGACTTGTAACCCCGTTTCATCTATGCATGTCAAAATGGAGTGATTCGAGCCTTTTTACAAATGCGGAGAGTATTGCTTTCAGCAGCTCGAAAGCTCGAAACATTCACGGGGGTGATCGAAAACGTGATCTCATGTATCCCTTATCGGCAATCGATACATCTGAATGATGTTCATGCTACTTTTTACCGGTCTCTTGCTTCTGCGACTCTGCTTGTACCGTGCCGAATACCGAGGCCGATGCCTGTGAATGAGGCGCAACTGGATTGTACGGTTGGAAGAGGAAGTGCTGTTGCGGAACTCCAGCAGCTAGAGGAGGCATTCATCGACTTGCATCGTCCCTTTAGTCTTTGATATGGACAAGTCCCGGTAACGGGGTAACGGTGCGCGCACGTCTGTCTACGATGGAAACAAGACCAGAGAGCCTGGCGTCTTCGAGACAGTATGCTCTCCACAACGGTCAGTCCGCCGGTCGCGGCGGCGGTGCCGATTGCAGCGTGCTGAACAATGTCCACGACAGAGGACATGCTAACACTGTCCATGATGAGAGGAGACGCCAAAGTCTCTGGACACGAGCACTGGTTGGGTCGTGGGATGCGATACTGCACTCATAACAAACAAACATCCGGTCGCAATGCGCCGAGGAAAGACCAGATCTGCACAGTGTTTTTACTGTGCTTCTCACTTACACATGCAAGTTTCCACGCCATCTCGAAAGACCATAGCAGATCCCAACCTCACTGCAGTTGCACACACCCTTGGCGAGAGAGACGCACGTTTCATCGACCTGGCAGCGCATGGCACAGTCAGATACGTATTCACATGCTCTCGCTCACCCAGCTGCCCCCTCACAGATTTGCGCAGTAGTAGCCACTTCCCAGTATGTACGCAGTGCACGACACCTGAGTCCGAGCAAGCACGAGATACTACGCTCGAGTCCGCATGTGTTCATGCTTGAGTTCCGGCCTGCAACTCCTGTACCGGTCGGTTGGCTTTTACAAGCGGGTCAACAACGTTAAACCACTGCTCGAAAGACCAGTCGGCATCAGCCTGGAAGGGGACGCCGTTCAGTGTGTACATGGGGCTACCGGACACTCCCCTCGAGCACGTGTACTTCCACGACTCGCGGGCGCGCTCGTCCACGTCGGTGCCTCCGAACGCGGTCATTTGTGCGTCCCACTGCTCATGTGTCAGCGATGGAAACGTCGCTTGAGCAAGACTCTTGAGCTGCGCGATGACTTGAACGGGGCTCAGATCCTGTGTCGCCCTGTTTCGGAACCTACAATGCAGTCGGTTCGTGTCAGTCTCGCGGTAGCCATCGTGCAAGCCGGACACCCTACAAAGTCGACAGACGGAGAAACATCGTACGTATCTTGGCGTGCATAGACCGCCTCGAGCCAATCGATGAACCGTTCGTCTCCCAACGCCATGGTGATTGTGAAGGCAGCTTCAGCCGCCACGAAAGCGTACTGGTGGTACGGCAGCGGGAACAGCACGAACCGAATCCGCAGGTCATCGGCCTTGTACTGCTCTGCCAGCTTCTTCAGCCCAGGGTACGCGGACTTGCTGTCGGGACACAACTGCCACAAAAAGAGAGCTCGTAAGTCGCAACTCGAGTACTTCGGAGCATTCGTTGCAGCTGCTGCTTACCAAGTCAATGTACGACTCGAGTTGGACACCAGCGTTTGCGCTGCCATTGCCCAGCGTGAATCCCACAGGACGTCTCGGGACCGGCAGAGCGTCCGATAGACTGCACAGAGCTGCAGACAGAAGCAAAAGGGGAACGATGCGTGTCGACGGCGCCATCTTCGCGGAAGCACTTTTGACTGGCTTTTCAGAAAAGAGGAAGGGGACGTGAACGTTGGGATTGTGATTCCAGTAGATCGGCCACTCCATCCAATGAACGAACCAACGAACGAACGAACGGACGGACGAACGAGACGAATTGGATTTGCCGACCGCCTCCTGCTTTCGTCTATCGCTAACCCATACTCGAGTTCGTTCAATGACGTCCATGCTGCTGCTGTGTACTGCCGTCTTCCTACTGCATCTCAGCAAGACCCGCGCCGAAATACCTGTGCCTGAGGCACCGGCAGGTTTCACGATCGGAAGGGGAAGTGCCAGTGCGGAAGTCCAGCTCGAAGCGTTCATTGACCCGCTCTGTCCCTTCAGCAAGGCCGCGTACAACGGAGTGAAGGCTTTGGCGGACCACTACGAGCCCAACGACGTTCGTGTCAAGATGGTGGTGTTCCCGCTCCCCTTCCGTCAACACGGATTCGCGGCGGCTCAATCTGCTTTCGCTGTCACATCGGCACTTGGTGACGGCTTCTTCGCGCCGTGGCTTGAGGCACTGTACGAGCACCAAGAACGGTAATTGAATCGCTTGTATTGCTGAAAGGGTATTGCACAGCAGTTGTCGGAACAACAAGTGCTGACTGACGCTGTTGCGCTGTGGACAGCTTTTGGGATCCGGCAACAAAAGACGCGAGCGCGACGCAAGTGAGGAGCCAGCTGTACGATGTGGCGAAAAAGACGTTTCCAAGTCTCACGGACAAACAATGGGAGGAAGGCATGACGACCAACGGGACTGCTGAAGCGCGTCGACGCACGCGCGTCACGTGGAAGTACGCGTGTACTCGCACCGTCACGGGCACACCGCAATACATCTTGAACGGCGTACCATTTGCCGAAGCTGACTCGTCATGGAAACTCAACGACTGGCTCAACGTCATCGAGCCGCTGGTCCAGGCGAACAGAGCTTGGACGGTCAGCACGTCTGCTTGGTCTGGTCGCGCTGCGGTGAATGAGATTGCGACTCACGCCGTGTCCAATGTGACCCAAGTTCTTGCCGTACGTAGTAGCTGAAGCAACGACCGTGTAGTGCAGTGGCAGCACTGTAGACAACGCTAAGAAAGCGCCAAAGGAAGTCTTGAAACGGACCCGACGACCATTTCTGCCATGTCGATTGTGTTTGGATTGCCGCAGCGATCGAATAGGTCATGTGAGAACGATCCGACGACGACGACGACGACTGAGTGTCATCATGGATTTGCCTCGAAACAGAGTCCACGCTGGAGTTCTGCCACGCGTCCGTCATGTCTATGCATGTCAAAATGGAGTGATTCGAGCCTTTTTACAAATGCGGAGAGAATTGCTTTCAGCAGCTCGAAAGCTCGGAACGATGACAAGAGTGTCCATAGAGCATATAAAAAAATGCGTCGAACGAAGGTGCAACTCGATCAAAGTTGAGAATACATGGACCCCAAACGAGATTCCAGGCCCGAGTCTGTCAATTCTGGCCTTAATCTCGTTAGGGGCAAGGGATTCTTGCACAGACTGCACGTAACCCACGATCCAGGTAAGCTGTCATTCTACAAAGGGTAGCTTTTGTGCTTGCACTTCCGTTTGCTTTGTCGCTGACAGTAGCCACACGAAGCATTTTACATCATCTCTATGACAGCAAGAATCTTACATCAACCGTAGCGATCCCTGGATGAGACTTGGGCTGAGTGAGCGAGGGCAGTGGCATATGGTGCACAGCGCTCGAGTGAGATACTGCTGCTGACATCTTCTTGTAAGAATCGAGGGTATGATTCGGCAGCGATCGAACTGACAGGATTCTGTGAAGCACTTTGCGGTAAGACAGCGGATAGCGCAAAAATGCCGAGGCTAGTGGCAATTCTGGTACCTATCTTTGCTCTTTCTTGACAGGTGCGACACTGCAGTGAGGGAGGCAGAAAAGTTGACTTCAGCAAGAGCATCAGTGACATTTTGCTTCCTCGTTTCTATGATAAGCGACAAAATTGCTGAGGCCGACGGAAGACACAGCGTGGTTGTTTTATGGCAGCTAAGACGACTACTACTACGGACTTCGTATCTTCTGTCTGAACTAGTAGATGCCGGGAGGGTGTGCTGGGAAGGCGAGCTTGGAGGAGATTGAGAGCAGAGAGAACATTACAGACGTATAACGCAAGCAGACACGTCGAGGCGACGCAGATCTATATTTGTTGAGAATCGCAATGCAATCACCAAGAACGTACGCGGCACACGCTTCATCCAAAGTTGATAGGAAAAGGTGCAATAGTGATGTTCTCGCACGTTCCAGCATGATTGCTGAATTGCGCAGCATTCAGACGGTGTGTATACGATACGTCGCACTCTCGTCGTTATGCGGTGTTTATTCACGAGCCACACTCAACCGACCATTCTTTTTAATTTGAGAAAGGTAGCTCTTTGGCTGTTGATTTCCACAATACATCGAGCTTTTTGCTCACTGACTCACAACATTGAGATGCTCGTGCTCATCAACATCTTCTCTGTCGAAGCTTTCTTCTTGTTCGTCGTCGTCCGGCTGATCAATGTGTTCACCATCACTATCTTGTGTGATGATTTTATGATCCGGCTGTCGATGTCGTCGGTTGCGGAGACAAGCAAGGGTGACACACACAGTCACGATGCTGCTTACCAATGCGATCAGCAACGCTACGAACAGCCACGTGACATCGATATGCGCCTGGCTGCTGCTTCCACCGGACAAAACTGAGGTAGAATAGCTGACATCTGTAGCGGGTGCAGCCCCTGGCGCGTGACAAAATGTAACTTCGAGGTCGCTCGCGTTCAATTGCGTGTTTGTGACACTTTGCTCCTTGTCGTTGAAATCGAGACCGTTGACAAAGCGACGCAACAAATCTGCAGCCACGTCAGGCACGTTTAGTGGCACTACGTGCCCTGCACCAGCAACCACCACGTAAGTCAAATTACCGCCCTGCTGTGCGAATCCTGCAGGCTCTTTGCGGCCTTGGACTTGCCACGTGAACTTGCGGGCCTGCTGATAAGCCTTCGCTCCGTTCCAATTCAGACTCAGCAACAGTTTCTCCATTCCATAGTAGTTGCACATCATGTCCCATTGACCGACGTAGAAAATCATACGTAGACCTTTTTGAAGCAATGACTGAACTGCGTCCAACGTGCTGACGCCGTCAAACTTTTTTAGTCCTCGATAGACACTGTTGCTACACATCTCGAAGCGAAACCTCTTGTCCTCGTTGCCATGAACAGCTTCACGCACTTCCAGCTTAGTCAAATATGTGGCGATCGTTTTCATTCCTGGCGGGTACGCTCCGATATTGTGCACATATTGACGGACGTCGTAATGATTCAAAACGTTCCCTCCATTACCTGCCTTGACGCTATTCGTAATCGCATTCATGTTGCCGAGACAGCTGTCCGAATAATACGTGCCAGCATCCAAAGCAGCCTCACACTCAGCGAATGAAGCTTTCAGCGATCGTACCTGACCAAACGACAACAAGCCAAGACCGTGGGCATAGTCGCTGTACTCGTACTGAATTTTTGGGTGCACCCATCCATTGCCAATGCCAAAGCCAACAAGACGGATCTTGATCTGGCTGTCTGCATCATCATTCCGATTCATAATGTGCTCCGAGAACTCGGGAATCCATCGTCCTGCATGGGATTCACCGAACAAATACACAGCTCGCGAGTGTTTCACCCCATCGACAGCATTCGAAAGGTACTCGGTATGCCGCTGCACGAATCGAACCAAGAAGTCGTAAAAGTCTGCAGAAATGTCTTTTTCGCTCGACCGGTAGTCGTTGCCACTAGTATACGACATGCCAGTTCCCACAGGTTGGTCTACGAAAAGCATGTTAGCAAACTGGTGCCAGCTGTGGGCATTCCTGCCAATCGTGGACTCGTTCACCAACACGAACGGCGAGTTGCCCGTGAAAAGGCCTTGCATACTGGAGCAGCCAGGACCTCCGTTCAACCTGCCCAAATCAGTAATCAAACCCGACATGTTACACAACCCGTCACTTTCTCGATCCTTTTTCTCTGTCGTACCAAATGACAAGCGGTGCCTTCTTAGCGTCCCGTGCCGCTTGGAAGTGCCAGTAAAATAGAAAGTTCTTGTCACCGCCATAAAGCGCGATCCGACCAGCGTGATGCGTGACGTTCACGGACGGGTCGAGTCCAGGCAGCTCTTTCACCAAGTCCCCTTCCTCTTTCTGCTTGTATGAGTGCGTGTTTGTCGATAGGCGGCGGTCAGTTTCCTCTGCTGCTTCATTCTCCGTGTGTGTCTCTTCAAAGTAGGTATCGCTTGGATGTAAGCGCTTTGCTGACGCCATGACGATCGCCAAGACGGCCGCTAGAACGCAATCACCGCCAGACGCCATTCGACGGACGGTAAAAGTGCTGACAAATCTCGAAACTTGACCCATTTTTTGCGTCAAGTGACGAAACGCAGTCAAAGTTCACGTTTAAACGTGTTGTAACATACACGCAGAACGTAAACGGATGAATGCGTAAAATCGCTGGTGCGCGAGCGATAAAGTGGAAATAGGTAGTCGTGAATTAAATTTTTATCCAATATTTACTATTATGAAATGCTCAGAAACCACGTTTGTAAGCCCATTTCCAAGCATGTATACGAAACTACACTCGGCAGAAACCACGCCATTCTATTATGCTGGTCGAGGCACCCGAGCAAGTACACGATCGAACGCAACACAAGGTTGTTTTTCAGTCGGTTCGATACGACATTAGAACTGATACACTTCTTGATCAATCTTGCACAATCAAACGTATCTTCTGCGGCACTTATTCGACACCGCCGCTATAACGTGGTGAGCCAGTTACATAAAAGTTCATACAAATGTATCAATCTTTTCAATATTATCTCATTCGATAATTATCAATTGACATTACTCGAAAAGAGGTAATGGTGACAGAATATTCACAACGAGGGTAATAGTTTTGGGTGATCCACTTCTTGGTGGATGTAGACGCCACATCAACTAACTCAACCATCAATCGCTGCATGACGCGCGCAATGGGTCGTGAGCAAGAAACCCACATAGTAGATTGTAGTTGAATATAGTTAGATGAAGACACCGATGGTTTATTAGGGAGCTTAACTATATTAAATACAGGTGTACTTTTCCCCTTAAATAGAGCTTTCTAGTTCTGTCTACTTCCTTGCGCCTCCTCACGCCACGTGTACGTGAAGTCGGGGGTACGCAGCCTTCTGCTCGGTTTACACGAGGTCTTGCCAGTCATCTGGTAAGAGCGTGCTCCGTTACACCTGGTAGCACTTCGTAGTTCGTCTAACGATCACGACCATCTCGTTCAACATGAACATGTTGTATGAAGAGGAAAGCTTTCACGCCACGCATGAAGGCTATACCCATTTGAGTGACATCGAATGGAGTGCGGCAGGACGCATGAGTTCTACCGTAGGAGAAACCGCCAATTGCACCATGTTGAAGTCTCTTGACAGACACCAACAACATGCCGCTATACCCACGTTCATATCAATGAATTTGTCGCCAATAGCGAGAAAGTAGCCTTGCTTCACCATCAAGGCTCTCAACATGCCGAGCAGTTGACTCACTCAGTGCTCAACAGACAGAGCTGTTGAGACAGCAGAAATTCAATGCTGCTGTAGGTGGGACGACATACACGCGTCGTCCCGAAATCTTGAAGATAGACATCTCCAAGTACGGGGAAGTCGAGAAAGACTGCCTGTTGAGATGGCTCGTCGAGTTAGACGATGCCATAAGGGCTCGTCGCATCGTCGACGACGAAATGCAAGTTGCATTTGCCCAGTCCAACTCGGAGGGACGTTAGAATGCTTGGGCCTCGGGGCTCAAGCTCAACGACCCATAATCATTTGGATCGTTGGAAATCTCCAATTCCCGGCTCAGACAAAGATTTTAGCCTCCACGAGCCGAATTTTGGATCGTTCTGTGTGTTTGAAGCTCAGACAAGGTATACAGGATGTGCATGCTTTTTCGCAGCACATTCGATACCTCTAGAGTTGCATAACTGCCGACCCGTAGGTAAAACCCCAAAATAACTGTGTTCATCCAGGTTATACTTTATGGAACCGTCAAGACCAACCCGTTTCCTCTGAAATAAAGGCAATAGATCAACCGTCCTCCCGCCGCTCAGTGGCGGTACAGGAGGACTTTAGTTTGATACAAGCTCGAACCAAATCGACTACCAATTGCCCACCAAGACGACAGGAAAGCAGAGGTCCAGAATCAATGGAACGCCGTTATGTTGAGATCGAGAGACCTCGCTCTCTAAACAACAAGCAATTGAACAAGTGCAATCGCTGTCAGAAGGTCGGACACTACGCTTATAAGTTTAGTGCCTCACGCCCAGCACCAAATAGTACTGAGTGAAATGGTCGTCCATTTGCCAAAAAGAGCAATGGGCGTAGGTCCAACGCTATTGCGAAACCGCAACAGCGAAGCGGACCATCAAAAATGGTCGGGGTCAGTAGTGCGGAGCGCCCTACTGATCCAGCACCCCCAGAGAATTTGAAAATTTCTTGACGAAAGTTGCTCCAGACACACAATCATTGTGTGTCTCTGTACCTAGTGATGAGATACCACTCATCGCCTTGAAGCTGCAAGTGACAAAGGATTTGTTACTTCGAGCTCTAGTTGACAATTATTGTCTTTTTCTCTGCACCTGGGAATGAGATACCACTCTTCATATTGAGGTTGCAAATGACAAAGAATTTGTTACTTCGTGCTCTACTTGACTGTGAGGCGTCGAACAACATTGTTCGCCGCCAGTCACTAGAGGGTCGGAGGACCAAGTTCGTTGAGAGCGACATCCTTCTAACGAGGACGAAGGTGCTCCATACACAGGTATAACGATAACCATTGCGAAACGTGTAGTAGGAATCCACTACACGTTAGAGGGCGAACCTTACGATGATATCTTCATTGTACTGGATATGGATGATGAATTTAATGTCATCCTGAGATTACCTCGGCTCAGAAAGTACGAGCCGAGGGTGAGCTGGCAGCATCGATACGGGAAGATGCCTGCCGCTTGTTCATCAGATGGTCATCTGATGAACATCTTGGAGCGTCCACAAGCGTGTGGGTGTTCTGCGAGTGAGTGCGATGGCCTCACTTGCAATGCGGTCGTTAGCAAAACTGCACAAGACCTCAGTGTAGCTGATCACTACAATGTGGAGCAATCCCCCGGTAGATTTACAGAACTACAGGCAGCGCCGAAGGATTACCACTAAAATATGTCGAGTGGACAGGGACATGGATGCTTTACGATCGGGAAATATCCTAGGTAGAACAAACCGGTTGGTCCAGAAATGGCAACACGGTTATCCTAGGTCGACTGGAGAGTTGACCGTAGTGAATCGGTACCTGACAGTGGTTGCAAATTCACAGTCAGAGGACGTCAAGGGAATAAGTCCCCAAGTACTTAAGAAAAGAATTTCTCAAGAGGTACTTGCTAAGAGATAAGGCTCTCAGTAACCTGGGCGGACAAGCCCTCGGCAGACTGCGGAAATATGTTCCCAGGAATAAACTAAGACGTTGAACGTCTTGGTCAAGGACGGATCAAGCGTAGGTGCTTATACGCTTGATCTGATTGTGCCTCCGAAGTTAACTTCGGAGATAACTCAATTGCCAACGCTAGAACCGAAACGATTCTTGCGTGATCTGCGAAGTGGCAAAGTCAAGCAGATCTGCATACTCGTCACAGAGGATGAGTATGTGGCCGATATTCGGTCGGCAATAGTATTTGCTGAGAACGAAAGGGTTCTCAGTAGATCATCCATGGACGAAAGTGTCCTCGATGAGAAGAATCGGATCGAACGATACACGTCATAATCCTTGGAGTTAATTCAGGTAAATCCTTTGTATGAGAATTTGATCGAATACAGGGTTGTATTCCCTGAAATAGTACCATGCAAGTTATCTTAGGTTACAAAAGGCACCTAACACGAGATCGAGATCAAACCGGGCTCGAAGTACTGTGTCATGAAGCAGTGGCCACTGCCTCGTGTACAAGTACTAGCGATCGACATATTCTTTGCTGATCGCTTCGCTGCGAGCCATGTGAGGAAATCAACTTCCCCTCACAGCTCTCCGACCTTCTGTGTGCGAGAGGACACAGGAGAATGGCGGATAGTGCACGCATTCAACAAATTGAATGCTGCAACGGTACCGCCTCAGACGCCGATACCGAGAAAGGACGTGATCATAGATGGTATGTCTAAGAGTACCATCTTCTCGTCCATGGATATGATGGATCGCTCCTATTATATCCTCATGCGTGAACGATACATCCCGTACACAGCAGTGAGAACTCCTAGCGGCATGCTGTGGGAGTGGCTAGTATTTCCAAAAGGGCTAAGCAATACACCAGACACCTTCAACCGATGTGTATCAAAACTTGTAATAACGGTGCGAGAATTTGCACAGAGTTACTTTGACGATTTATTTGTTCATATCCGGGATATGGACGGGAAGATGGACGTGGGATCTCACACGTTCGTCAGGTCCTTTAAGTTATGCGCAATCATAAGTTGTACGCCAACCTCAAGAAGAGTATTTTTGCGGCTGGCAAAATACCACTTCTTGAGTTCATCGTAGTTAAACAAGGCGTATTACCTATCTCCAAAAAACCAAGGCGATCACCGACTTGTCCGTGTCAGTCGGTGTCAAGGGACTTTGAAAGCTCCTTGGGATAGCGGCGTACTTGCACAAGTACTCGCTCAACTACGCTGATATGTCTGTGCATCTTTCTTGTTTACTCAAGAAAAATACTAAGTGGTCATGGAATGCTGACTTTCAGCGTTCCTTTGACGGTGCCAATCAGAGCTTGATGAAATCGCCCATACTGGCGATTGCAGATCATAACAGACGATTCCATGTGGTCTGTGACGCTAGCTATTTTTCGATCGGCTGTGCCTGGATGAAACTAGATACAGATGGCGCAGAGCGCAACATCTGCTATCAATAGCGTCAGCAGCAAGCAGATGTGCATAATTAACCAGTCCACACAACGAAATATGCACTGGCTATGTTTCGTGTCTACCTCTTGGGAGATGAATCGTTCACCGGCTATGCGTACCATGCGTCACTCACTACGCGCGGACGTAAATAGTCCACACCTCTCGCAACGAATGGCAAGGTGGCTGTCTTTCTTCACGGAGTACAAATTCTGCGTCGACTATAGATTAGGACGACTGAACCGCGTCGCTGATATGCTCTAGCGCCGGCCCGATATCGAGCTGGGCGCGCGATTCAATATTGAGAATAATCCCGCTATTGCGACACTTACAGTCAGTGTGCGGCCGTCAACGTTACTTGACGACGTGAGAAAGGCCCACGTAGAAGGCAACGATTTT